GGAACTAGAATGAAGTTCCTGTTACTCTGAAAGCTGAATATTTGAAATAAGCAATAACTGAAACCACTGAAGTTATGTTCTACAATATATGCATAATATCGATTCATTCATAAATTTGCAAAAAATAAGAATAAATTAAAGTTAGAAGTATTTCGATTTTAAAAAGCAAAGTAATCGAATCGCATTCTGAAGTGTAAGTTAAATATTTTGAATTTTAGCATTGACAACCCAATAAAACTACTATAATCACTTTTCGAGAGAAACATGCTTTAAAAATTTGACCCACGTTTAATTTGAGACAATCGGCACATTAATTAGTCTCTCTATTAGTACAATAGAGAACAGTGAAAACAACCTGAAAAATGCGTAAGTGAAAACAGAAGGAATATAGATTCAGGTATTGGCATATTTCCACAATATTGCAGCAATATTCTTATATCAAATTGTAATGTCACCATATAGTCACTTGCATGAATTCATAATGATAAGCAGTGAGATTTACTACTTTCTGTAAAATTAAATTAAGAAGAATAAATGATAGTAACAAACGTATGGTTTGCAATCCATAAATTAATTAGCCAAACAACGAAAAGTTTATCGCGGAACACTAGTTTTGCAGACCATCAATTAACTAATTGACGAAGTAGATTGGTTCTTTTGTACACGTTTAATACCGGCAGTTATACTACTAAAAGAACTTTTGAGCATAAATCTGATCGCATAACAGAATCTGAATCCGAAGATCTCCGGTACTGATGTAGCCACGGAACTCTGAAGTGAATCATTTAATATATCCATGGTATTTTTTCATCAGATCGCACATTATTCCTCCTTGATTTGCGATTCTTTGCACCCAACTGATCAATTGAAAGCAACGTTTTTACATCGTACGAAGTAGATGGGGCTTCAACCCTTTCCGAAAACATAGGATCCGAGAAAACTGAATTTTGTACGACCAAAAGTCTAAAAACAACAGTGAGATTAGTGAAGTACTCTACAATGAGTACGCGGATGAGCATTGCTCGTTCTCTGTCTTTTGAATAATAAATTTATATATATATGTATATATGTGTGTGTGATGATTTCGAAGCACAGTCGCGACGGCTGAGTGGTAGGGCGGGAGGAAGACGTTGCTATTAAACTAAGTTCAGCCAATTAGCATCTTTATTTTCAGATTTACAGTCACACTAGAATAATTCCTCGTAGACAACATTCTCTTTAATCATACAATTACGATAATTTCTTAAACACATTGTGTTTTTTTTAGATAGAATGACGCAAGCATTTTACAGAAGTGAAGCGAGGAGATATTAGCAAGGTAGAAAGTTAGCAGAATAATGACGTAGTTATTGTGCCAAGACTGATGTATAAGTAGGGCTAATCTGTGATTGGTTAATATTAAATTTAGTTGCCCTTTTTTCAGTAGCGTTACGCAACATAGAAAAATATCGAATTTGGGAGAACAGCTGAATTTCTGGGGGAGAGCACCAAATCTAGAATGTTACTTTTGAGACCGCCAATTATTTTTGAAGCAGCTATCGTATTTTGGTATAATCTTATATATATATATATATCTGTGCGTGTAAGAAAAATAAAGAATATGTAAAATATAAATTATAATTTAAATTAGAAACGTGCATTAATTTCCCTTTTCTGTTCTAAAAATAGGAATCTCTATCTGCACTGCGTCATTTCGAAATTAATCTGTGTCATATGACTGATCTAAATGGAACTAAAACTCAATAATTTTATAGCACCATTAATTATCTAATCAAAATGCACCGAGAACCAAAACTATGTCAGTCTGAATTAAGATTTCAGCCTGAACATAAAGCACTTGCTTGCTACTCTTCGGCCTAACCGGACATCTGTCTACTGCTCCATTTCTTACTGGAAAAATATCAAAAATGTAAACATTTTGAAATAGACACAAATAATGTGCCAAGTTCTTTGTGACCGCAACATGTTTACTGAAATAAAATGAAAATTTAATCCGTCTCGGTTGCCAGCTTTTATTCATTGTGGATCGCCATTTTCAGCATTCCGCGCTATCAAAATTCTTGCTCCTCATTGCGTTTTCAACCATCTACATTCTACATCATCAATATTGCAAAGTAGTCCCTTTTTTATTACATATATATAAACTTGCGTTATCTGGAAACAGAGATTAAGAGTAATCATTGGAGTTAATGACTATGTTAGTAGCTTAGTGTATAAGGTATTTCTCCCGCCTTCGTGTTGTAGTGGTCAGCACGCTCGGCGCATATTCGAAAGGACCGTGGTTCGAGTCCCGGCGACGGCATTGCTCATTTTTTTTAATCTCTCCTGCTTCGAAATAACCTAATGTCTCTACATGTAATATCTAGACGTTCTTCTTCTTCTGCTGGCACGATGTCGCAAGATGGGCCATGGCCTTCCTTAAAATCTTCTCCCACTCCAATCGGCGTTTGGGCAGAGATATACACTTGGTAATTTGAATAATTTTAGTACAGTCCAAGTAATTTCGAGTCCAACCATCTTACTCTAGATCTTCCTCTTAGTCCCATTGGTTTATACTACATGTACTTGAGCAACTTTGTCTTGCTAAATTATATAAAGATAATTGTTAGTTATATCGTAGTTATAACTAAAGCAGTAACCTTATCACGACACGAATGTCTATTCTTATTTTGTCAAATTTTAGGGGACTTCCTAAGATTCCAAGACTACCAGATTTTTCGGCGAATGTAGAATAAATTTTCAAATTTCGGATTTTTCCTATTGTTTTTAATTTTTTATTATAATTTTTAACCGAAAACGGTGTTAGCTCAAATGGGCTATTAGTCTCGAAACAGAATTTTTCGTCGTTCGCTATAAACGGCTGTATTACTTTCAAATTGTTGCCATCAAATATAATCGCCCTGTATTATTTTAAAAGAAATTAAATAAAGGAAACTGTGAGTAAATGAAAGTATATTTCTCGCATTGTGAAAAAACGACGTTACTTGGAGCCATCAAATTCTGAATACCAAAGTCCTCCAACCGCACTAAAAACCGAAATTTTGAATTTCTAATCTGTTTTATTATTTATTTCACATTTCGAAAAATTTTAAAGAACATTTAATTAACGAACTCAACGAGCGAAAGTGGCAACACTGTATGGAATAAAAGATTTTTATCTCCAGAGAGTGACACTGTCTATCAGAAATTATGTTTTTAAATTTTTTAAATAGAATTTTATGTGTGGATCGCCATTTTCAGCATTCCGCGCTATCAAAATTCTTGCTCCTCATTGCGTTTTCAACCATCTACATTCTACATCATCAATATTGCAAAGTAGTCCCTTTTTATACATATATAAACTTGCGTTAAACTTGCGTGGATCTGGAAACAGAGATTAAGAGTAATCATTGGAGTTAATGACTATGTTAGTAGCTTAGTGTATAAGGTATTTCTCCCGCCTTCGTGTTTGTAGTGGTCAGCACGCTCGGCGCATATTCGAAAGGACCCGTGGTTCGAGTCCCGGCGACGGGCATTGCTCATTTTTTTTAATCTCTCCTGCTTCGAAATAACCTAATGTCTCTACATGTAATATCTAGACGTTCTTCTTCTTCTGCTGGCACGATGTCGCAAGATGGGCCATGGTGTGAAAAATATGATAATTAATTATTAAATTTAACACACGAAACGTTAATAATTAAAACACACACACAAAAAAAAAAGTTCTCAGGCCATCTTACTAAGAAAAGGAAAAATTGAAAAAAAAAAAAAAAAATCCTTTTGAGGGGCCGTAAAAATCTGAATCTTTTCAAATTTTTTTTATTAATTTTTACATTTATGTAATTTTATAATATTTTTCGTTAGCATTTAAGGAGTAATATGAAGTATTCATACATCAAAATACAAGCTAGAGGACTGAATGGTACTTTTCTCTTAACGAGGTGCCCTTCGCCAAATGGGCTACAAAGCGCCAAAATGCAAGCCTATGCACATTTCGTATTGAAGATCTGTACAGTATTTAATGTGAGCAATACCAAGGCTGTGCGCGCAGTTTTGGGACTGTACATATTGTATATATTATATGACAGATTACTGCTATTAAATGTTCTTTTTTTTTTTTTTTTTTTTTTTTTTTTTAAAGTTAAATTTCGCTCCAACGTTTATATGTTTAACGCCAACACAAGTAGCATTCCATTAACAGAAAAGTGTTTGTTGAATTTTAAAGTACTCAAAGTTTTCTTGGACTTCTGGAATGTGAAATTAAACAATTTTCAAAAGTTACATAAAGACATCGTGCGTTCCATGTCAATGCCGACAAAGAGCTTCAATGTCAAATGATCTTTTTTTACGAATGTGCTATTTAAATAAGCAAATTTGTGAATGTACAGACAAGTATAATGCATAAAATCGCTGTCCAACTAAATAGCAAACTTGGTCTAAAATAATGAGGTTGATTATGTTTCCAAAATATTAGTGGTTTATAAATCTAAACTGAAGTTTAAAACGTATAACATGGTATTTATTTAGCAAAATATATTATATAGAGACTTTACAATCTAATTACAGCAGAAAATGTTAAAAATCAACTGCCAAAATTCGAATTACAAACCTTTAAATAGCTAACTCGACGTATTAATCACTTACAATATTAAAGCCTACGTGGACGAGGGGGAAAGTTCTTTATATCCTCCTCCATTTAAAGGACGAATGAATGCAAGTTGTGAAGAATTATCGTCTACCCCACATCACTTTCGATGTAATTGTAAAGACTCACAAAAAAATAATTTTATTGAGCATAATGCATAATTTTGGGTTACTTAGCTACACAAAATACAATGGAAAAAAACACGATTAGAAATAAAATTAAATTTACCCCACTTGTGCACCAGTTAGTTACGTACTTGGCCTACCGAAGGGGGGTACTTTCCGATTATTTGAATAAACTACGGCGCTTGTTTATTGGAATTCTATTGTATTTTTAGTAGTTATACTTTTCAAATATTTTATTTTCATTATTACAGTATTTGCTCATACACAAACAATATGCATAGTATATGTTGAAAATCTATATAGTAATATATCAACAAAATGTGATCAATACATGTAAAAAGCGAACATTTGGATACTTAAAAACCTAGAAGTTTTTAAAAGATTAGATATTCGCAAATTTAAAAAATGGCATGATTTTCATCATTTGAATCTTTCGAATCCTATCTTAAAAAACCCATTATATGTTTTAATTGCAAATATTGTAAAGAGAAGTTTTACTGATTTGACTAGAAGCGTTGATGATAAAAAAAAAAAAAAAAAACTTAACCTGCCGTATATTTTGAATTAAACTCTGTGAGTTTCGAAGAGATCGGACAAAATTCCTTCATCTTTAGAAACAAAAATTTCTTTACAGAACTCGGACAAACGCTGAACATTTTATGTCAGCCAATCTAGCGTTGCTTTTTTGTCTAACTAGCCGATTGCGGGGTAAGTTGCCTAAAATAAGTTATCATAAATAATTAATAACATATACATAACGATTTTAATGAGTTCCTCTTGTGTGATTTCAAAAAAATATTAAATATTTCTAATCAGTCTTCGCATGATTTAAATGCATTTTTTAAAAAATTAATCAGAATAAAGTAGAGAAAATATTAAGAACTGTGATGTAGCCGTTCCTCAATAGACACAAATGCCGGCTAGCTTTAAAAGGATTTATTAACAGAGCACACAGGAACGGTTACAAACAAAAGAAATATACATAAAAATGAAACATATACCAAATGGAACATCAAACATTGAGAATAACATAACATAGTAAGCTATCATCATGGCGGCTGGAGGTCGACTGACGTTTTTTCATATCGCCACGAGATGGCGTTTAAATAAAATAGTTCGGTTACAGTTCATGAGTTCATGGCGTGAATAAAATAGTTCAATTACACTTAAATAGGTCTGTTACATCCTCCCCCTCTGACTTCGTAGACGTCTCGGCAAGAAGTCAGGAACTGACCATTTGTCTACTTTGTGCAGCGGGCGGAGAATCAGATGAATGGGCTCCAGTTTGACGAGCAGTAGATTTTGCGTCACCAGCACCTTGTGCAACAGGTGCAGATTCGGGGCGGTATTACACGTTTCGGGCGTCCTCTTTTCTTTAAGGGAACCACTGGAAATTACACGAGCTGAGTTTTGCTTATTTCGATCTTGATATGGTTTCAAGGCTGAAACATGATACTTGCCGAGAATTTTGTCTGGTTCATGAGGATCGGCAATATCATAAGTGGTTGGAGATCTTGTAGTCACTATTACATAAGGACCATCTCTCTTGGGCATGAATTTAGCAGTTTTCTTCAGTGGACCTTTGCTGATTGGGTGGAGGGTGACCCAAACTTTATCTCCAGGAACAAATTTCGGTGTTTCTCTTCGTTTTTTGTCAGCATATCGTTTCTGTTTATCTTGATGCAATTCGACTCTTTCTCGTACCTGTTGTACATTTCTTGCAAAACGTTTCAAATATGGAGTAATTTCGGGAACAAAATTATCGTTCTCAATTACGGCTTTTATATCATGCTTTACATCATCTAAGGTTCGTAACTCTCGTGCAAATTGAAGAAAAGAAGCAGAATGTCCAGTTGAATCACATTTGGCTGTATTCAAAGCAAACCTTATTAATGGCAGTTTATCCTTCCATGACTGATGGTCGTTACCAACAAGTATTGCTAAACGTGGTTTCAGATCTCTATTCTTCCTTTTTCAACTGGGTTAGATTGTGGGTGATAGACAGGAGTAAGACTTTGATCAATGTTCAAGATATAGCATAGTTGTTGCATAACAGCACTAGTAAACTGGGTACCATTATCACTTATTATTTTCCTGGGTAACTCAAACCGAAGGGCGACTTCTTCCAAAAGAATAGTGGCGCATTCTCTGGCCGTGGCTTCCTTTAAAGCAAATAGTTCTGTCCACTTCGTAGCACAGTCCTGCACAATAAAAATCCATTTTTCACCAGACGGGTGTTTCAGGAAGGGGACCGAAAAGATCAATTGACAAGGTCTCAAAACGTTGAGCATAGACTGGAGTTTGAAGTAAACCAGATGGCTTTTGATTAGTGGCTTTATAACGACAGCATTCGAGACAGCTTTTGACATATTCTGCTATATCCTTTCTCATTCCAACCCAGTAGTATCTTTTTGCTATTCGATAAAATGTTCCTTCAGATCCATAGTGACCGGCCGTTGGCGAATCATGATATTCTTTCAAGATTTCTGCTTTTCTTTTTTGAGGTATAACTAGTTGAGCTTCTTCCTCTTCCGAATCAGGGGAATATCGGTACAAAACTCCTCTGTTCATAACGTAGCCTCTTCCAGTCCAAGTTGCACAGTCTGCTTCTTTCTCTGGACTCTCAAAAGTTTCGATGATCTTCCGAAGATCATCATCTTCTAGCTGTGATTGTCTTAATTCTGCAGGGCTAATAGTAGGGATTTCGACAGAGACAGCACAGACTTGACAAGAATCTGTACTTGAGTGTTCACAAATAGGACGAGACAATAGATCAGCAATAAAGTTCAATCGTCCAGGAATGTAATTGATAGTCAGATTGTAGGATTGGATTTGTAAGGCCCATCTTGCGAGCCTACCAGTTGGTGACTTTAAAAGACATCAGCCATTTCAATGGTTGGTGGTCAGAGGTGATTGTGATAGACTGGCTTTCAACATATCCTCTAAATTTGTTGAGTGCCCATACTACTGCTAAGGCTTCTTTTTCTATGGTGGAATAGTTTCGTTCTGATGCAGTCAGCAAGCAAGCGGCTGGCATATTCTATAGGGTGTTCTTCATTTTTCTCCCCTTGTAGCAACACTGCTCCTATGACTACATTGCTACCATCGGTGCGAATGATAAAAGAATTCGTTTCATCAGCTTGCTTAAGAATCGGCGGGCTAATTAATTTTAATTTCAGTTCTTGGAAAGCATTTTCTTGTTGTGCTTCCCACTTCCAAAGTGCTTTCTTCTTTGTTAAATCCGTTAACGGTTTGGCTATTTGGAAAAAATTTGGAATCTATCGACAATACCAGGAACACGTTTGTACGAACGATTGCACTTGCTTAACAGTTTTCGGCGATGGCATTGTCTGCAATGGCAGCAGTCTTGTGTGGATCAACAGCTATACCATGCTTAGTAATGTAATGCCCTAAATATTTCACCTTTTCACAACAGAAGTGGCACTTCTCACGATTAGCATTGAGCTTGAATAACGATAGACGTTGGAAAACTTGTTCTAAGTCAGAAAGGTGCTTTTCAAAGCTAGATGACAGCACGATGATATCATCTAAATATGTCAAAGCAAACACATTATTAAGTCCAGAACGGAACCTATCTATCAATCTAGAAAAAGTGGCAGGAGCGTTTCTCAATCCGAAGGGCATTCGGCGTAAATTTATATGTACCAAAAGGGCAAACAAAAGCAGTCTTATTTTGATCTTCTTCAGCTACTCTCACCTGATGATAACCGGATCTCAAATCAATAGTTGACATATAAGGTGTCGGTTTTTTTGCTTCACTCAACAAATCATCTATACGTGGCAAAGGATAAGTGTCTGGAACGGTTTGAGCATTTAGGTTACGATAATCAATGCATAACCGTACTTTTCCATTTGCCTTGGGAATCAGAACCACAGGAGAGGCATAGGGGCTTTCACATTCTTTTATGATACCTTGTTTTAGAAGGGAATCAAGTTCCTTTTTCAACAGTTCTTTCTTACTTGGGCTCATTCCGATATGGAGGGACTGAAACAGGGGGCTGTTTCTTGTGTTAATATGGTGTTCAATGAATGGAGTGGCTTCTCCCCCTACTTTGAAGACAGTGTGATATTTGTTAAGCAATGCATCAGTTGCAAGCCGTTGGGCTGTAGTTAATTGTTGTCCTTCATTTTCTCGTAGTTCGGCAGTTGTTTACAACAACTGGGGTTTCTTCCAGTACTTGGGATTGATGAGGTTTCACGAAGCTATATTTTCTTCGAGGTTCATCAGAAAAGTTCCACCTATTTTCAGCAAGATTTAAAACAATTTTAGCTTTTTGAAGAAAGTCAGTTCCTAACAGAGTCGAGTTATTTTTGGCATCAGGCAACACAAGGAGCGGAGTTTTGAACTCTCTGCCTTCGAGAAGAATGATTTGTTCGGTGCGAAGTACCTCTTTTTCAGATACCAAACCATCAGCGAAAGACCTGTAGTGTTGTCTTTTCAAATACTGCATCTTGTTTTTGCAGAATATGATAGAGGGATTCACTTGCAATTGAGTGACTAGCACCAGTGTCGGCGAAAGCTGTACCGGAAACACCACCAATACTAATTGGAAATACAGCAGTCCGAGTGGAAGATAAACAGGATCGGATTTGGATAGTGCCAAAATTTGATGAATTTGAAGTCTTTGGGGGGTTACAGTCTGGACATTTAGACTTGATAAAACCAGTTTTTCCGCACCCATAGCATGTTAAAGGAGGTCGCTTTTCCTCTGTTTGTTGCTGACTACGATTTAAAAAGGTTTTATGAGTTCCCTGTATGTCACTTGTTCGATTTTCCACTTTGTGTTTGGATGGATTAGTCGGTTTGTAAGAATAGTTCCGCCTGCCAGGAAGTTCAGTTTTATAGTTCGTATTTTTAACACGTACAGCTTCATAATCATCCAATTTCTGTACTAATTCAGATGAACTCTTTATTTTTCCCCAAGTATCAATAAAATGCTCCTTAACGTCACTACTGACTCTTCTTTTAAGCTGATCCGTCAGGACCAAGTCTTTGAGTGATTCAAAGTCTGTAACATCGAGACTATGGAGCCACTCTTCGAGATAATTGTTTAATTCGTAAGTAAAATCTTTCCATGAAGACCCAGGGTTGTTTTGGTGTGTAGTAAAGTTTAATTCGAAATGATTCAGCATTTAATTTGAATCTTTGTAGCAGAATCTTCTTGATGTAAGAATAATCTTCTAATTTGTCTTTTGGTTCTCTTAAAATAATTTGCGAAATGTCTATAGGCAGAAGAGGTAGGAGATGAGTGATGTAATCTATTTGTTTTATATTAACTTTCTCACATTGTCTTTCAAAAATTTGCAGGTAGGTTG